ATCATATAATTTACCAAATTGGTGAAATAAAAATAAAAGCCTTAAACATCATTTAAATTGTAATCAGTTGTTTATTTTGCAACATAATACATTGATGTTATTGCATCGATGTTAACTTTTTATAACAACGACATCCCTATACGTGTACATTTTCGTCAAATCCGCTCTGACAAGTAGCAAAGCTTTTAAATATTTTGAAGTTACCGCATTTATTTTGCACTTTTAAATAATTATTTTCAAGACGAAAACGAACTAATACTGAAAAATATTGAAAAGGGAAAAGGATGAGCTCAAGAAGGGGATTGTATTAGTGTAAGCATAATTGAAGTAAAAAATATTGATTAATTATTGAAACAAAATGCATTCTCCACATTAAAAATAAAATCAGAAAGTAAATGTTAAAATTTTAATATAATTCTAATAAAAGTTCTGATATAAATTACAGTGTCTATGATTTTTAAACAAAAAAAGAGTATTTTATGGATATTCCACTATCTCAAAACTTTGGAAACCGCTATTTGAAACTACCGCACGACGGAATTGTATTGTTACTACAATAGTCACCCAATTAAGACGGCCATAGAGTACTTACTACCTCATTAACATACGAATGTATGACTGTTTTCATACGGTACCTAATACATTTATCACAGTATGTAACAACAGTTGATATAATAACGCCGAACCATTATATGATACGCTTATGCGTATGTCGGGAGGCGTGGCCTCGGCGACCAATAAAAATGGACTCTCATTTAAAACTACTGGTGATCAATTCAATGCGCACACGCGGCTTTTAATAACTAAAAAATTAGGTTAACCGCTTATTACATTGCTATAATGACATCTATAAAAATGCTGTTTGTTGCTAAACGTAGTAATTTGAGAAAGACTGGAAGGTTATACCAGTGGTTCCCAAAGTTGATGGAGCTCCGACCCATTCCCAACGCACAAAACCTTCCAATATTGGCACCCACTTCTGCTGTGTTAAAGCTGTCTTAAAGAAAAGTAGTGTGGCGAGTTGCCCATTAGAGTCCATTCAATATTTGTTCGCGACCCACAATTTGGGAAATAGTGATTTAGATTAATAAGTAGTGAACTATATATCTCGATTAAAGACGTCAACCTGTCAAACATGGTAAACATCCATTAACACGGATGTTCGGGCCATTCATCCTGACCTGAGTATCCTGAGCACGGTAGATAAACATGTTGCAAATCAAATGTGCTACAATCATAGCCGAACTAAGGGGGACGAGACGAATTGTAGAGCGGCAAAATGGGGAGCAGAAAAATTTATAATATTATAACATATGCAGTGTTATTTTAAAGGACAGCGAATATTATATTTGCTCTGGCCTCTGACCTACTACATAGCTATCGAGTCTAGCTTTCAATGAGCTTATTTGAATAAAGACTATAAGAAGAGTTTTTATTAGAATTACTCGCGTATTAGCCTGTCCATCCCTCTGTCGATATTTGCTTCGAAAAACTGTCAACATCTATTGCATTTAACAATATGACACTGTGTTGAAAATTAAATATAATTACTAGGTATCATTATTAATATAAAATGTTACAAATTCATATAATATAAGAAAATTATTACAATGTCACAAGATTCAAATGTATTCATTGTTTATGCATTAATAAAAAATAAGAAATAAGAAGTCGTAACACACTATGTTACGACATCAAACTAAAATAATTTTATTATATACTAGCTTTCGCCAACGGCTTCGCCCGCGTGGACCCTAGGGAAATGTTTAGTGGGATAAAAAGTATCCTATTATCTAAGTCAGCTAATACCCTATCTGTATACCAAATTTCATCAAAATTCGTTCAGTAGTTTCGGCGTGATTGACGGAAAAACATCCAAAAATCAAAACATCTAAACATCCAAACAAAGAAACTTTCATATTTATAATATTAATAGGATTCAATACATATTATAAATATTATTCCTTTTATAGCTAAGAAGCAAAAGCGGACTAGAATTTATCAATAGTGTAGCAGCACTTATTAAACAAATATGTATGCAGTCTGTTTTTATATTTTCCAGTTGCTAATTATTTTTAGTTCACTGGGATTGCCCAATAAATTAACAATAGCTGTGAAACGGTGAAGCTGTTCAATCAATTGTTATTGCAGCTTCACAGCTTGAAACTTAACTCCATGATTGACCATATTATGAACTATATCATAAGAACAGAATCCTTCTTGTTCTTTCGCATCTGTCAAGGGTAATTACCCTTTGTGCCAAGTCACATAATCGGTGAAAAAAATCAGTATATATAAGCTAAGTAAAGTACTAAGCTTTCTCATGGTTTTACTTGTCGAGTTATAACTCATTTTTGACTAGAATATACTTATTGTTAAATATAAATTTGTTTACATTATTTAATCACCTCTTAAGAACAATTTAAATAAGAGACTTAAGCCAAATACATTTGTATTTATTTCTACACAAAGTCAGTCCTTCCCGTAATCTTCTCAAAATATCAATTGAAGGATACGTGCAATCACTCTAATTGTTCTTTTTGCTATCTAAAAGCTTTTAATATATTGCAATTATAGCTGTTTCACCATAATTTGATACTATAGCCCAATTTGGACTCTCCTAGTGCAAAATTTTTTTTTTTTAATTGTTCTACTGATAGAATGTAGATAGATTCTCAAAGCATAACACCCCGAAATGATGGATTTTACTATGGAGTTATCTTTTACATTTTCATTTTTTTAATCAAAGCCTTTTAAAGGTTTGGCGTTTGTGCAAACGATTTATGAGATTACGTAACATTTAAAATCGTAAACGCTTTTGAAGCGAATAATGATTTGTATGGTCAAAAATAAAAACTCTGACGTCAACAAAAGATATTATTGCAGTTAGAATTCCACTCGTTCGTTTGACATATCTCATTAGCTTTCAGAGATATCTAAAACGAATTTCAAAATAACGATATCATTAATTCGATATATTAAAAAAAAATATGTGACAGCGATTGTCGCGCTCAATCGCTATCACATGTCAAATAGTTGAAACGTGGTGTTCGTTGACATATATTTTAAAATGGCAAATAAGCCCCTGGTCCGGTAGATTTGTGAAAACAAATGTAAGTAATGTAAGTACCCCAAATACACACGTAATATAAATAATAAACTTTATAAGCACAGGAGCCATTTTTGGAACTTAATCATGAAAAAAAAAATTTATAATCTCAATTAGGATTATTTATGTAATTAGGTGAATATGATTACCCTTCAGTTAAAAATGTTTACAAAATATATGAAGTATCTGCCGAACTACTGATTAAGAGACATACCATATAGCAGCGAATTAAACTGTTTCCGCTTCCACATGGAGCTTCTTATCTCATGATACCCAGATCTCTGCATTCGAAGTTTCCTGGCCGTGTTCCAGTCCCGCTTACTGAGGGATTACGTAGGCAGGATCTTGAAAGACTGCTAATTCTGCAAATCCATTTTCATGGACATTTGTCCTTTGTACTTGAATTTATCATAATAAAGCTGATTCTTTACAAACCCGGAGAAGTGGAAAAATATTTAACATTTACATAAAAATCTGTAAAAAAAATACCGCTGACTAGTGCCGAAAAGACCCTCTTCGCTACCGTTTATCCTCAAAGAAATTTTTTTTCTTTACAAAAAATCAACATAAGGCGTCACATAAATAATTTTAATATTTTTTTCTATATTAAGTTGAATGTGTTCAAAATTGCCTGTTTTTTTTTTCTTAAAGGTGCAATTTGAATAATTCTGCAAATTTCGAGATCAGATGAAATTGTTCTGTCGCGCATATTCAATCTGTCAGCCGCGGAATTGGAAATCCTATTTTTCCACACTGGTCGGCAATATTCCTTTTATATAAGTAAATAAATTTGCCTATTGACACGCAGACTCGTAACCATTATTTTTTTATTAAGTTCTAGCCTAGTTTAGAATTTCGAGATTTGACGGGACGTATACTCGCGGGATACCGCAATAAATGAGAAATTCGTAATCCCGCGATAAATGAGACCGGGAGATGGCGCGTGATCTCGAGATATCATGATCGCACTTGAATTTCAGTCGCACTTGATCGGTTGCCATTTATTGGCACCATTTTTGAGTGCCAACAAATATCATTACATTTATTTATTTTAAATTATCCAAATATACTTCACTTTATTTTCAAGAATTATGATTAAGTACAATTAGGTAGCTATTTATTATAATTCGCACTGCTTCCTGCATTTTGTTTCTACTTTTTTTTATGGTTTATCATAATAAACAGAGGTAGGTAGGTAAGCAGCTGTCAATAATAATATAGACGGAGATTATAAAATTTGAATTTGGTAAACGCAGTCGATTGTATCACGCAACCATCAAATAAAACTTTCGAGCTTCAGGCCAACTTTATAAATAAGGTAGGTAGGAACTTAATTAAACCATTATACCAAAATTTGCCGAAGCTTCCTTTTTATTTTGTGGTTTATTAATTTGATTGTCTATTCACATAAACTCGTAAAATTTTTTACAAAATAAAGTACCAAGAAGAAGCCAACAAGAAGCCATTGAAAATATTAAAAAAGTCTGTAACCTGCATACCTAGATGCCTAAGTGGCAACAATTTGTAACGTACTTACTACTTTACAAAAAACTCAAACATAGTTTCCATGCGTAATTAAATCGCAATAAAAATCTTGATTGTGAACTGTAAAAGGAGAAACAGAAAAATACCAAGATGGGTATCATCGACGCTAGCCGAAGTAGAAACTGCATATCGCTCGATTCTTCTTCGAAGTTTTTACATATGGGCACGTGTTCGCGTTGTGAAGACGCCTGTTTTCCGTGTATTTTCTGCTTGGCTGACTGAGGGGTGGGCGGGCGGGGAGAGTCGCCGGCAGATGCGCCGCGCAGCGCCATCTATCGAGACCCGCCGCGCGCCAGGTGCGCGATGCCCGCACCGCGGCCGCCGCCCGCCTCCAGTCCGCCGACACGCGCTCTATCGAAAACACGTCTGTACGGCTCCTAAACGCCGCAACACGCGACGCGCGCGTTTCGAACGTAGTGCACTATCGCGACCGGTTCACCGCCGCCGATGAGCAAACAGTGACATCTCGATTGTTGTGCTGTGTGACTTGCAGTGAAACTCAGTGTGTACTTGTGCAAGTGATGGATTACTGCGGATCCACTGTCGAGTGCTGACCACGCCGGGACTCGGGTCGTATGCCCCGGCGCCGCTAGTACGGACGCGCCAGCATGCGCGCCCCCGCGGTGCTCATCGCCCTGATAGGGTTTCTACCCCAGGTACTGACATTGACACCGAAAACCGCGAATCCCCATTCGTGCAAATGTGCCAGTCGAAATCGTTAGTTCACATTGCAAGTATGAACAATTCTGTAATGCAAGCCGGTGGCCGTAGGCACGAGGCCGTTGTGCATTACACGACCGTCACTTTCCCACGAACGTGTCGGCGTTCAGCAGATTGTCCTGGATATATCTAGCCGGGCGAGGGTGTAGGTTAGGTGAGTCGTGACCGGGCCCCAGGTCTGACCGCCTCGCTGTCGCGTTTGTGTGTGTACGTTTGCCGAGCAAACATAGCTAGACAGGGTACATAGTTATAAAGAAAGTTCAGGTTTAATACGGCCGGCGCGCGGGGTCAGCTAGGTCGCTCGAGCCTCTTCGCTTTAAAATTAGATGCATTCCAAAGCTCAGTGGTGAAGTTGATACCGAAAGAGGCGAATCCGCGACGTTTTGCGTGCTTTCCCGACCAGAATAACTTCTCCAGACGTCTCTGAAGGCGAGATATTTCTGGCAGGGTTAGTAGTTCGATCTAGTTTACACGAACCCTTTACGTTTCTTACAGTAGTTAATAGTTTACGTTTAGTACACGCCGAAAGTTGTAAACCTATGTAAATAAACAAAGCAAGGTCGAAAGTATTATAAGACATATCTATTTAATTTATGTAAATTGAGAGAAATCCATAATAATGTCACTGATGTCATAGAAAATACCTACTGAGATTTGAGGTCATTGCTTTGTGTTCGGTCAAGGTTATATAACTCGTGCAAAGGGCGATCGCTCCCAGACCACTGAACCTATGAACTTTTCTAAGTTTCGTGATCTCATGCTATGATAACATTAACTTATTTTATACAATATACCTACCTATCTAGTAAACTAATACGAGAAACGTTCACTCCGTCGTCAGTAAATTACCTTATTAAGTAGAATCTAATAATACTAACTGTTCGCAGACATTATTGTTTATTAATATTATCCACAAGAACATCTAAGAGTAACATCTCAAATAGCCGCAAATGCTAGGCGCATGATTCACTTGGTAGGGCACCGATATTTACATACTCGATAGAACCCTACCTACTTTCCCAAATCTATTTTATTGGAACCTGTCGATTGCCATCTCTCATTGATACATTACGTATTCGTGCCTCACGAAACCAGCAATTATGGTCCGAAATGTCAGCACCATGAACAAAAGCACACAAAAAAATCGATACTGCAGTCGTTCGACTTTTTGTTCTCCCGCATCGTTTACCCGTCTACAATAGCAATTTGCAGTGAGGGAACCTATTCCCCAATACTTGCGTATGCGCACACTAAACGTATACTTACTTATTTAATCACAAATGTACCGTTATTAACAAACACAGATGCATGAATAATATACATGATGTATGAATAATAAATAACTTGTTTGTGTGCGAAGGGAAACTGTCGTGATCGCTAGTTAGTATGTGTGATTTAAAAAAAAATATCGTCAATGAAGTCCAGTTAATTGTTTTGAGCCAGTTCAATCTATCTGATGTGGGTACTGCGCTCTTCACTGTGGACACAACCTGTGTATCTTCTATATTTATTTATAGTTTAGTGTGTGTGTGTGTGTATGCGTACGTGTGTTTTCAAGGCGCTATAATACATTATGAATGAAGTCTCGTTGTTTCATAAAAAAACGGTATTTTGCGCACCACCGCGTCGGACTGGTTCGCTTTGCCCCCGGGTGCAGTGTATACCTACGTGACGATCGCCTTGCGTTGATGTAATTGTCCACGATCAGTCAACTCGATTCTTTATCCTCCTTACATCCGCAGGAATCGATGCACTTTTTATTTTCTTTTAGCCACGTGCATTGTCTGTGCGCTACCTCTACTTGGCTCCTTCTCGGATCGCGTTCGAAATATAAAAATTGCGTGACCATTCAACCGTTCAATCGGAAGCGGCTTCGGATACACGTCTGCCCTAAACCGCAATAATAATTTCCAATTTTATAATAAATCATTCATCGAACGCCGGCTTTATTCGTATTGGCGCTCAACCACTACAAATTAGATGATAAAAATGTAAAGTTACATCCTTGTACCATAAATGTGTTGGTTTTTATTGCATTGCTATGTTGTGTTATAAAAATATATTTATAGACTAGGATTATAACATACTATTTCTTGATTGATTACGCCTGGCGTCTACCTGTCGCATATCTAGGACATAGTATGTCATAGCTCGGAACGTTAAGTGTAGTGTGGTGCATGTACCTCGTTGCGTTATGATTTGTGATATAATCGATTTCTGTTATTTATCGATATGTTTATACGAATGCGCTGACCGTGTTGCGCGATGGCGCGCGCAGCTCCCTAGCAGGTGCAATTATTATTGCCGACTTGAGAACAACCAACATCTGCTTTTTCGTAATTCACCGTGTACACGAATTAAACTTGGTAAATGACGCCATGACGGGTGGAAACTCATTTCCACGTCGCTGGTCCGTTTGTCGTCAGCATTAAATAGCACTTTTAATTGTTATTTCACTAATAAAACCACCATTATTAACTGTTACAGTTCTTTCCACTTAGAACATAAACATGATTAATAGTAGTTAATGTATGTGAATGCATCGTACAAGAAAAGCTGAGATTAATTAACATTGCCATAAATGGATAAATAGATTCCGCTGAATAAATGGCAACTATAATCTTACGTCACCTCTACCTATGATTTCGATAATAACTGCTTTAATAATATCTCTCCCACAATTGTTATAAAAGTACCACCTATACATGCACAAAACGTTTATATGCCTTGAATGTAAGAAATTAGAATGGCTATTCAAATGTCCAAATTATCTGTCATACAATAGCACACTTTCGCTATAATTTTCTCATGTAGTATGCAAGTACTAAATGGTTCAATTGCCGAAAACCACCTGCAGAGGGAACGTGATTACCATTTTAAAAAGTCGCGAGAATTTCCACAATCGCTTCGGGCAATTAATCCTCATATGACATGTTAGTAGCAATAAACATATAAGCATGTGAAACGTTAACGGGCCCCTGTTATAATTTTGTCCATTGTCCAAAAAAGGTTTTTTGTTTCTATGTGAACCGACTCAATTATAAGATTGTACGAAATCCGTGTAATCGTTGGTTTTTAACGGTTTCAACTATGAGAAAACTTTATTTTCATCTCATTGTGAATATGCTTTGGACCTTGGGAGCGTCTGTGCTCATGGTAAACCGCGCTTCATATATTAGTTTGACAAATGATGTTTTCATTATACTCTTTTACGACACCGCTCTATTGTTTATGGCTGTCCAATTGTTTCTTTTACCGGACGGTTTTCTTCTTAACACCGGACGTAGAAACGTTTTCTTACAATTTCTGACCGGACGTTAATTGCGTCCCGATGCAGACTGAGAGTGGCAACAAAAAAAAGAGGTAGTCGCCTGGATCATTGATCAGATTACGCAATGTCGCCAAACTGGATACCCAAGAAAGATGAACATTTATGTATTATTTATTAAAGTTTTTAATGTGCACTCATTGGTTTGTTAACATTGCTTTGATTTCGATTCAATTAAACTCTGCTCGTGTCATTGGATGTTTTATAAAAACTCCAATAAGAGACTTAAAAAGAATAAAAGAACTCATTAGTGTTGAAGAAGCTAATTTTGGCAAAATGATTGATTCATACAACGTTAACTCGGCTTAATCCAGCTGTTGCTATAAAAAATACAATCCCGTATTAAATTTATCTTTCCAAATAAAATAGCCACCGTTCTGCGACTTGAGCATTTAGTCATAGTTTCGAAATTCTATTAACATGGTGATTCCAAGTAACCTTCTAATTTAAGGTCCTATTGTTTAGTGTTGCCTGCAATTTATTAAATTCCGAATTAGGTAAATGTGTCAGTTATGTTAGCGGTGGTGTGTGGGTTGCGCAATTTCATGCATACCTAGAGATGAGTAGAGCTTTTCAGTCGTAGGTTGAAAGTTAAGGCCGATAGTTGACAGTTATGAATACTTATACCTGTTAAACAATTCATGCGAAATAATTATACGGTGTGGGTGTCAATTATTTAGCTAAGTAATAGGTAATTATTAATTTATACCTTTCGCTTTTGTCTTTTGAAAGCCCACGCTGTCATAAACCTTTAAAGATCTCACTGCTCTTTAAAAATGTTTAAAATAAGCCTTATAGAAAATGGATTCTATTACAATTATGTTTATTAAACTTTTCCACGGTCGGAAATACGTGACATTCCATAATACGTCACGTAGTTACGTTTTCTCGTATTGATTTACTACAATTTTAGTTGAGATATTTACAGTCCGATGACTATCCAGTACTCTTGCGCGCACACATGTTTTATAACGTTACAACAAAATTACTGCTAAAGTACCTACCTCTAGTCAACGATAAATCGGTATAAACGCATACGTAATTTATCAAGTCTTACGTTACAAAAGCAGGTATAATTTACATAGACAGACAATGTTTTTGAAGACATGCTTAAATTATCTATATTGAATAACAATCATACGTGTTAGGTGTCCTAATAATAAACAGACATGGAGATCTAGTCCGCGATAGCACTAGTACGATCATAGCTCACAAAACACCGACGCACGAAATCCCAATTCGCTTATGCAACAAGTTTAAATAACCGCAAAATACCTTATTATGCGCTTTCCATATACGCTACAGGCAATCTGCAAGCTCTATTACGCTACACGCTCATGGTTCTCCGTTAATTTCGAATTCCGAAGTCAAATCGTATGTTTCTTTTATATAGACGCAGCTGCCAGCGAAATTAACCAACAACAAAGAGTCGCAACTTTTGTCGCGCTAACGCCGAATTTTGTTTTGTTCCTTTTGAGACGAGTGTCCTTTTTAAAGACATTCTTTGAAACGTAAAGCTCTTTGTCGCAACCCGCGTCCCCTTATACAATAGTAGGTAACGTCTACTTGAAATTTTCTGTGAAGTTAGGTCAGAAAACCAATTAGCGACATAGCGTTCGTTCATCAGCTGTATGTCTAAAGGACAAAATTAATAGTTTTTTCTCGGAGGCACCAATTTGATAGCGTGACCGTAAGCTATTTTTAAAACAGTAACATCTTTATAGCATGTGTACGAGATACGCACAACCGAAAAATATGTATACACGTATGGTGAAAAAAAAGATCACGCGTCTTCCAGCGTTCCAAATATAAATTTTGAAAATGCGAATTTAATGCAACGGCCACATCGTCGCGCTATTAAAAGTCTGTTTGGGTGTTTATTTTAACACATTTCGCGTGTGTACTTATAACGGCTGAGATGAAAAACATTCCCCTGTGTTTCATTATTTGTGTTATTTTTAGACACGGCTCAACCTGCCGACTGGAACGAGTGTTTACTCTGTTGGCTTACTTACATACAATGGTTGTTCACATTATTACTCCTTATTATCTGGCTACTATGAGTCAATAAATGTGCAGACTGTAAAATATATACTAAACACAAACCCAAACGAGTTGCACTCATTCATATCAAATCTAATAAAAGCCGTAGATCATTTTGACATAGCAATTCTTTTTAAAAATTATGTCTAGTTCGTGAGCATAGTGCGCTGCAATTAAATTTGAAAAAAGAATTAATGTAACACGATATATTTGGAATGGTGTTGCGAGATCGTCGATTAGGTACTCAAATCAATTTGGACGGTTTTTTTTTGAGGCCCAAGCAATTAACGTAACATGCCAGTGTTACTTTCCTACGAAACAAAAAAGGACGAAGCTCACGACTTAGGTTCAATGCATTAATAGTCTCAACGTTCCTTCATGAGTAGCCAGTGTTGTGAAGGGCGATTCGAAAGCTTTTTATTTATATCGAATCAATCAAACTTACATTTGTCGGTGTGACGTAAGAATGTCTAAAATACACAAAATGAATGGCCACCAAATAATTTTTCAATTACAGCCGATGACAAATACTAATAAAGCTTAGCACCTTTTTAAAACGAGTAAAAACATTAATCAAAGAGCCACCGCTTCAAATCGCCTCGAGACAAACATGACTTATTCAGTAGTAAGCATTATTTAATTGTTAGCCTCAAGGCGAGACCCAACACCGTCCAATTTTTATCTAAACTCACCATATCTTGCCTATAATATACCTACACTTTTAATTAGAGTAACTAAAATTCTTACACGAAGCATTTAATTTAGCGATTATCTTACATTAGGTAACAGTAAGCCACAATTCATCACATTGGTGCTACTATAACTCGTTTTATAAACAATGCGTCAACAAAAAAAGGGGATGTTTAGAGTGTTCGTGTGTTTTTTTAGTTTTTTTTATTCCGTTCCTACCTGACTTCGGGTGATGATATACTTTGTTCAACCGGAGTCCTATCGTCATCTCAAAGTCATAGGAAAAGCGATGGTTATAAGATAATTTGATATTTTTATCAATGAATTTGAGTATATTCAAATATTGTTTTATAATACGTTTTTATTAATAATGTAATATCTTTAATCAATGATTTAATTTATCTCAGTTTTCTGAATTATTTAGGTAATGAAATTTATCCTTATATACGCTTTATACCTATACGCTTTAGCAAAAAGGAGGTTGTTTTAATTTAGTCAAAATAAAAGTGTGCGTTAACTGAAAATAAACCAGAACTAATAATTTCATAGATAAATAATACAAGTCATACCATTAACATATTATAAAAAAGTATCTTACCTATAGCTAGATCGCTTTTGCTTGTAGCTTTCATAAGAGATCGCGCCCCCGAATTTGCGTTCGTATACATACACCTTCAACCCTCATCCAGGCAGGAAGTCGCTTGAAATCTGGTGTATTTTTTACCGCAGTTCTGTTTAAACTGTATTTAAATTTTGACATCCACAGACTTGACGTCTGCACGGAAAGAGATAACGCCCGCGTCAATGGATCATTGTTCGCCCCTTTCGAGTCGTTTACTAAACTTTTGACGTGAGATAAGCTCGACGTGGGAAATGAGTTAATTTAGAAACAATCGACTTCACCCGTTCATAAATATCGGTAACATCGATAATAATTTCACAACACTACCGATTGAATATTCTTTCAACGTAAAACTGTAATAAGAGCCTTATTAAAGTTTACGAATGTAATTTATTATGGTGCAGCACTGTTTTATAAACTATTTTATTATATATTTTTTTACAAAACGTCGTTGTCGTGCGCTCACGTCCCTGTTATTAAGACTCCGGTAATGATTTGCCGACATGGACGCCATAACTTAATACCTACCACTTCCTTCCGATGCCATATAAATAGCGATTCGCTTAATACGTACGACTTTTAAAAATATAAAACATCTTTAATAAACTCTTAATTGTAAAACACTGAACGAACAACGTAAAAACTCAAGGCGCTTATTATTCAGTATATGCTTACGGGCGCTCTCTTATGCATTAGCTTTGAAACTAGTTGACCCCGCATACAATGCAACCAACTGCACATTCTTTCATTAATATAAGGGTTATACCACCCTGGAGGGCAACAAAAACCAGTTATTATTATTCATAGCCATTGAAAACTGAGTATTCAAGTCGTTAGATGACGACTGCTTATCTATCAACACGAATCGATCACATTTTTCATCGAAATCAGTAGTCCTGTCAACAAAAAAAAACTAAATCCTTATCAAAATAATTTAAAACGTCAAGACGTTATTATATTCAGTTCTAAATTTGAAATATAAAATAATACGTGCGTTTTGTAATGAGCAATGGGTTCGAATTTTAATTCAGGTTAGGGGTGTCGCCGAGTACAGTCACCCCACATGTGCTAGCAACCCCATTTTTGTACGACCTACATAAACTATGTCCAGTAAAACCGTTAATGTCTCAACAGGATCGATATATTGATCGCACACACAGTTGTGCAAATTGTTTGCTAGAGGATTAAGTCTTCGGGGTGTCGGGATCTGTTGTTTACATAGTGTCGCTCAAACAATGATAAATTATCCCAAGCTGCTAAGGATTTATGATCATATAAGTGAAAATGTTTATTTTTCTTTTCAGGTGCTGACATCTGGTTCCTTCGAACTTAGGATAAAAAGTTTTACGAACTCATTGGGTAGGTTAAGTAGTGGCCAGTGCTGTGATGGTTCCTCAAGTAGTAGTGATGCGCCGTGTTTGGCGCCGTGCAGGACTAAATTCCGAGTGTGCCTCAAGATTTATCAAGCAAACATCGATACAACATCACCATGTACGTTTGGTGATATCACAACACCAGTGTTGGGTGGAAACTCATTGGATGTGCCTAATCTCAACGTGAAGGGGTTTAGCAATCCCATTGTCTTCCCCTTCGATTTCACATGGCCGGTAAGTGCATTGAAATAGTCAATATTATACCTAACTACACTATAGTTACAACACCTCATTAATTTTGGAGGCACAAAATCAATACATCGTAAAAAAAACATTAAGTAGCAACCCTGCATCAATAAATCAACGCCGCCGAAGTTACCAACATTCAAATTCCAATAATCCACGCGGAGGCCAGTGTGAGGCATCTCATTCGTTGTGAATAATAGTAAAAAAGAAATTAAGGGATTCGATATTCAAATTTGACAGAAGCGATGACGATAAGAATACTTGATGGTTTAACGAGCGGCCGCGTGGGACGATTACAGCGCTCAATGGTTCATTTTTAATTAATTATGAAGTCGCGTTGTATACGGTGAGACGTATGTCATTAAAAGTAGTGTAGGTAACCTTAATTGTTGCTTCGTTCTCATCTTCAGAGAGCGATTAGAGCGCATAGGTCGATCGGGATCGTGATTCGATAATGTAATTACCTGTTATTTATTTACAGATCGCTTTTAGATTTATCTTGAATTCAAGGATAACTGACATCTTAATTGGACTTTAGTTACGGTTGTTTTGCCCGGCGTGAATTGTCTATGGTGTACACAGACAGCTCTGTGTGGACACTCGACGTTTCGAGGGCTATTTGTATTTTATTTAGCGGCCCGCTTCAAATGTCGTACCGTCTCGTAATGTTTGAGCAAACAATCGTTCCTAAGCTCGGCTGCTTGCACAAGCGCGGACCATCTGGAGAAAATGTTACATTCGGTAACCAAACCTTAAAATGCAGGTAAAAATTCACAATACCGTTTAGAAACTCTAAACTTTTTGGGACCACAGACTGTTACACTGTTGCACACACCATCCTGTTACGTGGATGGCTATTCCATATGAATTGGCACTAAATTGAAACTTCCTGCTTACATTCCGAGTTCTCTATGACATATGTTGATTGTTGACATGCGATCAATTGAGCGAAAGTAACGCGAAATAATCATGTCGATCGAATTTCAAACTGATAAGTTAAAACTGGGGATCGACGGTTAATTCACTTTACGCCATGTGTGGTTTGTCTTATTTGATAGATCCGATCGGTGTGCCTATCTCGCATATGTCACGTGCCATATGGAAGGAAGATCTTTAAACTAATGCCCTTTTAGTGAAACCATATGTATGTATCTTCGAACTCAGATACCGGTATTAAACTCAAATGTCAACTTGAACTATTTATTTAATTATAAATTACTAATGAAACTATAAAAAATCGTTTGGTAGCGTTATTCGACCAAAAAATCTCATATGCACAGAATATTTATCTAATAAGTTTATTTAATTCCATAAATTAGTTAGCACAGAATCGATCGTTCTAATTTTGAAAATACTCTTCATATCTTGACAGACAGCACTCGAAGTTCATTAAGCATAAAACAGTTAGGTAGTTTCTATTTTTGAAAATACTCAATCATTCTCATTACACTATACGATTTATAGAAAATCGGATTAGCATGTAACAAGATGTAATCGCTATTAAATATAAAGTACGTAACATCGACGTTCTTATTTTGAAGTTGGCTATCGAACCTGGTATAACGGTGGACAGCTTCATAATATTTTGAAACTTGACGCCCTCGGTCGCGTCTCACCGACCAACACTGGTCCCATATTACGGTACGAGTAATTCAAAACGCAACTGCATCCGAACTTTTTATCTGATCGGTCATGAAATAAATCGGTGCTAGGCCATACCTTAGATCTGACCTGACCGATAAATAGGTCATGAGCATATTAATATTACTGACAACATCGAATCGAAAATTACTGGTAAACCTGCGCGCGAGTTAACGACCGCATTGAAACGATTTATCATAATGCATTTAAACGGAGATGGCTCACTTGTAAAAAGAAATTCTCATTTGTATTCAGCCGCTCGGCTCCGCGGCGAAGTTTCATTTATTTTAAACTCTTAAACAATTTGTGTTTGTAAATCACAACTTTTATATTGTATGCCCGTTAGTTAGACGGATGTTACAAAGGTGAAACGAGACCGGATTACGACTCAGTCTTAGCACTTACATTTAATATGTTTGTAAGGAAAATGTTAACAGAACAGACAGGGGTTAATTGTACCCTACGGTGCAGGAGGGTGGGTAATATTCGCCCCGTTCATGAACTAGCCCATTCAAGTACGGACCGTTATTCGTGGAAGTTTTAATGTTAAAAAGTGTTGTTTTTAACGCGTAGGTAATTCATGTAGAGGAATTTTATTGAGCACCTGCTGAAATGTCTGCATAAAATGTCAAGGGATGCTTCCGTGGCCATGATAATGTAGGATGATGACTACAAGTTATAGAGAAATATATTTTTTTAATTGCTTTAGAAAATTTAATATCTTTTCTTAGATACATTGTTTATTTGATCTATAATAATCGGTAACCATTTTTTTAGAATGATAGAAGGAGGTTTTAATGTCTTAGTTATTTAACATTCTTTTATTATTGCTTATTTTGCACTATGGTAGTGTAATCTGTGCGCAGGCGCACAAACGTTCATTACGCTATGCTTTGTTGACCGTGAACTATACTTTTTATGGATTAGGTGTAGATCCGTATTGAGTATACTCGTCTCCTATTGTTGTCTTATCTAACTGAATGTCCATCTTATTGTGTTGGTGCAATAAAAAATATGACTTACAACTACGTAGGCCGTGATTATGTTTATAAAAAAATTAAACGCATAGATAATAAATAGGAAACAAATATAAATCTAAAACTACGTAATCGTCATTAATAATAATCAGGAACTAAATCCACTAAACCATAAGTCATCTAGTTTTGTATTGTCAACGAAATTTACCTTAACCGGTAAGAAAATAAACGGTTTAAGCAAGTCACTTTCCCACAACGCGCTCGAGCATTGTCCAGCCCGACAAAAACAGTACCTCACACACTGTCTACAGCGGATTAACCACGCACGTATTTTCAATTAAATATTCTTTTTTTTTCTCGAAAAAAACGAATAGAAAGCGAACTGGCCACTTTATTTGATCATGACACAGTTTTTTAAATCTGACTATTTAATTCGATTCCTTCGCCTATCCTTTTAGAATTAAGAAATACCAGTAAGCGGTATTACCGAAAAAATAATTGCTATTCACTATTCATAACGTTCAATGTAGATAATTAGGTAATGATGAGTAAGTAGGTAACCAATTGTAATATCCGGTCTGGTTTATTTTTAATTTTTCTAGTTATAAGATTTCTTACAGGAATAAGTAATTGTTTCGTTGAAAATCCAATTGTTTCTAAAAACTTTAATTCCCATATTTCTTTAAACTTGCTGTTTTAAAGTTATCCGTTATCTGACAATAAATAAAATTGAATCACCAAATGTTGCTAAGCTCAAGATTCGAGAACAACACAACCAATTCGTCGTTGCCATACAAACTCTGTAGCAAGAAATTGGCTAGTTACTTATCTATAAACAACTGATTAGTGTCATATTTATCTAGTACACTAACCTTACTAAAATATGACACTAATTACAGTTTAGCCAGACTGATCAGAACTTTAGGTAATTTATCTGCCACTAATTAATTAGTAAACTAACATTAAAGCTATGGAATTATAACTCCTAACTTATCTGAGTCTTCAAACATTATAAAAGTGATGTCTGTTATTTTTTTAATCTTTGTTGTATATAAGGAAAACTAGGATAACATTTCCGAAATTGAAATTTCAAGAAAAACTGAAATCATTAATTTCATATTTGCAGGATGGCAACTGCTAAGTAAATTCGACAGTTTCTATCAATATTCATATTAAAATAATTATTCTATAAATTTACACATCTCTCTATGTTCACCACAATTCCAAGTTCGTTTAATTTTTTTTATCATTCGTTATTTAGATCTTTATATCAGATAATAATAAATTATATGTACATAATAAAAGAATATAATTGTGTACTTATCCTTTTTATTGAAATATGTTTATACTAAAAATACAGTGTTTGAAATTAAAGTCCTTATATTGTAATTAAAAAAGATTTTATTATATCATTAAATTTTGTATGACTGCACGAATTAGCTCTTAAAAGTATTTTGTACGAAGATAATTTTTTCTTTGCACCAAGTTTACTTGTGTTAATTTTCATTACTCCGCCGCGTGAGAGACTAACCGGCATTTTTCAAACTTAATTAAGGTTAATTAAATCACAAATGCTACATAGTTATGGTCATATTTGTATCTTTATGCTTATTGTGTACAAGCGCAGCCAAGCGAGAAGTTCACAGCCTCTATAATGCTCTGAAAATACCTTTTATATCATCTGTGGTTACTTACCCATGAATTTAGTCTATGGTATCAGTTTAAAAGGTTAAAAACTTTTATTATTTGCTTCTAGATTAAGCACTTGTTAGAAAATCTCTATTAGATATCAATTTGACCTTGGATGCTATTAAAATGAAATTTTGAACAGTATTAATTTTCAAAGTCGTATGGCATTGGTCATATGAGACGGCAGTAGTCGTATGACATTGAAACTTGTCGTTTCGAATAGTTTAGTAAGTAATATTAATAGGCTCCTCTAATGTCTTTTCTCTTCACTAAGCTTACAAAAAGCTCGCTTGATTAATGTATGTGTGTCGTTTAGTGAAGAAACATGCATGTTTATTGTGGAACAAGTAGACTAAGCAACAGCGTAACTAATTCGAGAGATTGTTACTTATTTTGCATGTTTCGTAAATAATTTCACGCTCTAAATAGTGGCATTCAAATGAAAGTATGAAAACTCCTTGGTTCCACATGTGACGGCACTGTTATTAGCATTGCCTTTTGTAATTTAGAAAAAAAAACACGCAACGCTCATGGAACTTAACGTTAGTGACGTCATATTCTGTTCGAATTTCAAAACGATTGTACTGTAAAGCACGCAGCAGCGATCGTCTACTGTTCTAAACTATTGTCGCGCGTGTGAACATGTCTCTTACTCTAATAGCGTCGTCTCCATTAGAAAGT